ATGAATTCTCTAATCAACAAATGAATGAGTGGATATCATTGAAGGAGAAGCTGATTCTGTCATTAGCATCCACTTTTTACAGCTGACTTCCAATGTTGCTCTTAGAGTGGAGGGGGGGAAATGAAAGTCTGCCGACAATAAATGTGCTAGGGTCAGGTGCCAGAGTCGAATGCTACCTGAGGGACCAGAAACCCAGATGGGGCAGGAGGGGGAAGCAGGTACAGTATTATCAGAGCTGGCAACCACATGTTTCCTAGTCCCTTCCCTCAGACGCAGTTGGGAAGATGCATCCCCGTTCCTTGGAGCTCTCTGTGGCCATGTGACGTGCTTGAGTTGTTGAAGCAAGAAGTGTTGTGTTTGGCTTCCAAACAGATGCTTTAAGAGCCAGTGCGTGATTTGTCCCACTTCTCTGGAGGGTGACCAGCACTCCTGGCTTGCCCGAGATGGAGGAGGTTCCCAAGGTGTACAATTTTCAGTGCTAAAGTTGGGACAGTTGCAGGTATCAACACTTCAGGTAGCGATGTTTCCACCAGCTTGGACCCAGGAGTGAAGGCGATTTGAAGCAGGTCCCCACCTCCCATGGAGACTTGGAGCATGGAAATGACCTGCCTGCGTCCACCCCACACAGTCCAGAGTCAGGCACCATTCAACCAGGTATAGGTAATCCTTATTGCAGACATCTTTTTTCATTTCGTTTTCAACCTTGGAGATTTTGCTCCACAAAGAGAGGTGAAAATATGACCTTTCTAAATTGAATGACATTCATTTCACAAACATTTATTGTGCTCTGGTGTGTTAAAGGCTCTGTGTCTGCGTGTTATGAGATACACAAAGATAAAAAGATGCTGTGACTTCTTTCCTCAAGCAACACAGTGTGCAGAGGAGAGAGAGACAGGCATATGGCTAACTCTATCACAAGGCAGAAGCTGGCAAATTCAGTAAAACATTTTATATGCCTGTCTGTATTTGGCAAGTTGACTACAGTAAACATGTAGTGGTAATGTTATTTTTAAAACACTTATTTTAGAAAGTGACACTTAGAAAGAGTTAAAGTATCTTTATTCTCCAGGTTGCCGATTCTCAGAATCATATCTTTTTCTGAAGGTCAGTACCGTTTATTCAAAGTTCAGTTGCACCTACCGGTCTTCATCAGTAGGATGGAAGCTTTAAATTTTACTCAATGTTGCTGGCAGATTTCCCATTGCATTCATGGTTCTTCCTTTGCACTGTGTGACCAGCAGCTCAAGTCTGCATGTGCAATGAGCAGGATTCTCCACCATGGATCAAGGCCAAGGCCAGCTAACTGGTCCAAAGGAGGTAGTTCTTCTTAAGAAAAGAATGATCAGCACGCCCTAGGGATCCTTCCCTCGGGTCCAAAGGCATTAGAATAAGGCCTTGTGCACAGAGGGGGTGGTGACCCAGCATGCCACGGAGGAAATATGAAGCCCAGGACCTTGAAGATAATAGGGCTTTTGCCGCAGCCCTCGACAAAGAAAGTGTGGTTTCTGGGGAAAACCTCGCTGTCCTGCTGTCTGCAGTTGGACGGCCTCCCAGGCTGCAGGGATGTTTTGGTCTCTGAGTACAGTCACTAGTACCAGCTGCTCTGGTATCTTCACTAGAAGGTAAGCTGCAAACGTGTGCATGTTGATCTGTTTGGGGAATGGGAATAACTGTAAGCAAACCTGCAAAATGTATTGCTTTGAGAAGTTTTGTCATAGCAGTGCTCCCTACAGTGTGGGTTTCCTCATTGCCTAGATTCAAGAGCATCCCCTGGGTCCTCTCTGTTAGAAGGCTGAATGTCCTGGGAGAGTGTGAGTGGAGGAGGGAGGGCCTGGTTCCCAGCTAAGACCAAGGCCAAACCTCATGCAAGGCCAAACCTCAGCAGCTGCCTTGAGGTAGTGAGTGCAGAGGGCCTGGGGCCTATCCAGGCGAGAGATTTCTCTCAGGCTTATGGGTAAATATCCTCCACAGAGCAAGCCATAGACTTGAACGTCATCCTAACTTGTGCTTGTGACATCTTTGCCCAAGAACAATACAAATTGAACATTTATGTTCTTCACACTCTAGAAAGAAAGATACAAACTGAGCCACTTCTTCATGCCTTGTGACATCTCATAAGATACCATATTTTTAGGACTGTAAGACGCACCGGACCATAAGACACACCTAGGTTTTAGAGGAGAAAAATAGGAAAAACAATTTTGAGGCAAAAATATAATAAAATATTTAATAGCCTGTGACCCCGCTCCACCGCCACTGCCCCTGCCCCCAGTGAGCCAGGCAAGCTACATTCAGGCTATAAGATGCACCCCCATTTTTCTCCACAATTTTTGGGGGTGCGTCTTATAATCCAAAAATATGGTATACCTATCTCTCTCTCTCTCTCTCTCTCTCTCTCTATATATATATATATATATATATATATATATATATATATATATATATAATGTTATAATAATGTTATCCTACTCTGCCAGTCAGGATGGACTAGATAACACATTAACACCAAAATATTAATGGCCTAATATGACCAAAGTTTACATCTCACTTCACAATTCACTGTAGGCAGGGGGCTCTCCTGAGCAACTCCTCCAAGAGGCTCCTTTCATTTTGAAATGCCCTCAGTGTCAACATTTGGCCTTAACAGTTGCCACAGAGGGCGAAGAGAGCACAGCACATACAAGGACACACCGCAGGATCTGTGGCTAGGTCTATACGCACTGCCCATGACTTCTGCCGCCTCCCAGGCAGAATCTGATCAGATGGCCCCATCCTAACTTCAGGGGGTGGGGCAGGGAAGTGGTGCCTTTTGTGTGTCAGGAACACAGTGTGAAATTAATGGGTATCTAACCAGCCCTTCCTCCAAGTGCATACAGCTGGAGTTATGCTGTAGTATTTTTCTTCTAATTATGTTTTGTGTTTGATACAATTTAGTCTGCCTCCTCGCCTTGCACCGTGTTCTCTGACATCCACACGCAGCACCCCAGTTCTCACAACAGCATTATGAGTTGTCAGGATGGGTGTTATTACACACATTTCACAGATCAAGGACCCTGGGGCCCTGTGTAGCCATGTGACTTGTCCAGAATCACACACTATTAAGCAACAACATTCTTTCAGACTAGTGGTCTCTCCATTATAGTGGAGCTGTCTTCCCCACAAATTCACACCAAATTAGGCACAGATCTCAGTATACGAAGATGTATATCTTTAACCCACTATAAGTCAACTAATTTGTCTTTTACACTGTGGCTCTGTGTTGAAAGATGTCAGCAATGATTTCCATTATTTTGGTCCCCACCTTTGAGGGTGCGTCTCAGTTTGGGATGGGACTAGGTGGGGTGCAAGGAGAGTGCCAAGGTACTGGGAGATCCACTGGTTTTTCATCCACTCTTTGAGAAGGCCCCAACCAAGATGTCTACAGTTCCTTCTGATCTTCCTTTACCAATACTGATACGTCTGTGCCTCCCTCCTGTTCACATGGCCCCTTCGGGTCCAGCAGCTCCCTGCTACTTCAGGGCCAGTCCAGGGTCTGGAAGGTTCTGTAGGCCCACACCACACAGCCATCCTTCTCCCCAGACCTGCTGCCTCCTGAGGTAGAGGCGTATGGTAAGAGGAAAGGACCCACCTGCGCCCTTAGTTTAAATTTTTATCCACTTGTCCTCTGACTCTGGTGGAGGCCAGTGGTTCTGGTCTCCCAGGGCAGCCCCCTCTCCTCAAACCGAACACCCTGGCTACCCTCTAAGCCCTCTCCAGTCCTCTGAGAGCTTTCATAACACAAAACACAACACAACGTTTTTTGTTCTCATTTTGCTTCCTATCCTGCCACGTCACTCCCCACCTGAGGGGACGGGACAAAAGCCTGCTGTCCATGTATGGAGCTGGGAAAGGGGAATACTGAGAAAAAACCCACTTCTCCATCACATGTGTATCCATCCCATTTAACTCCTCAGGTCCTTGTGAGGTGAAGTCTGTCCTTTTCCTGAAACTAACAGTGAGGGGAAGAGGCACTGATGGGAGTTTTTACCTTTGGGAACTAGTAGATGAAGGCTCCGCCTGCCCTTGGGGTATTTAAAGGTACGATTTCCCCTCCCCCACCTCACGCTCTATGGCTCCACCCCCAGCGGCTTCATCTTACAATCTTGGTGATGAAGTTCTCACTGAAGAACTGGGGACCTGGTCTTCTCAGAGGAAGACCCACAGCTGTGAAGGTCTGACCATAGATGATGTACTTGTCTTCCAAGTACGAAAAAGGGGATTTGTTTCTTTGGGTGTTTTAAGTGTTTATCGCTTCCCCCACCTCAGTTATGGGCACCCCCACCCCAGAGTAAATCTGTTTCAGGGGGACACGTTGTTGCACAGCCACAGCGATGAAGAGAAAAGGGAGCATTAAGACAGCTTGGGTGGGGAGATCACATACTGCTTGTAAGAGCTGAAGGAACTCAGATCAAATGACAGGCGAAGAGTTGGTGCATTAAAGCAAACTACGCTTACAAAAATCTGACTTGTACCAAATCCCATTTGCAAAGGGAGTTTTATTTTTTTGTTCTTGTTGTATTACAGTGGTCCCAATTTCCAGCATTGCTCTCCCCAGCCCCCCCACCCCTGTTCCCACAGTCAATTGCAAAGTAATTTTAAAATCATTTCCAAGCACACTGATCTTTAAAGACATTTGTTTTAAAGAGTGTAGTTGGCTTTGGGTCAAAATATGAAGTTTCGGTAATGCACAGTAACAATCGTAGTATAATTACCGGCCACAAAATACCAGGTGCCTAACCAAGCCTTTTCTACTCATTTAAGAGAGCCAAGCCAAACAAAAATGCCCTGCCTAGCCATACCCAGTAGTTTGTGAGCTCAGCCTTTGTCACCAGGAAGGAATTAATTCAAAGAGCAAAGCCATTATTAGGCACAACCAGGCATTTCTGTTGTAAACACCTTTTGTTAATACACGTTGAGAGCTGAACTTTCTCACATTTGAAAGAGGCCAGCTTGAGAGAGAATCTGAACCAAGCCAGTTTCAAGGTTGTTTCCTTTTCTCCTTTCTTCTCTTCTGTTTTCTTCCTTAGCTTTCTGACATTATGCCCTACTGTCTGCACAGTAGGGGCACACTGGCCTTGGAGCCCGAAGACTCCCCCACCTATCATTTGACCTAAGGATTGCAGTGTTCCGAGCTCTGCTGTGAACAGATTGCTTTTGCACCAAGGAAATGAACTGGGGAAGAACAGACAAGGCCCAGGAGTGTTATAAGGAAGAAACAAATGAAGAGACTTAAAGATGCACTTCCTCATTATTTGTAAGAAAGCTATTTCCTAGATTCCTTGAGATATAAAAAGCTAAGTGCATTTGCTTAAGTTAATAAATTTTATTGAATTATTGTGATAATACCGCAAAGCAAAAATGTTTTATATTTCTTCTCTTTTTATTGCTTCCTGTTCATTATTGAGAGAAGAAATCCAGTGTAACTTTTTTGTACTCTATCATAATGAGGTTATCTAATTTGTTCTGTATGTGCTTCTCGATGTGTGTGTGTGTGTGTCTACGTAATTAGATTGAATAAGACAGCCGAAGTGTGTGGTCGCTGCAAACACAGGTGTACGGCTAACGATGGGGCCCAGTTTTGTTGGAGCACAACTCCATCATAAAAGCCCTCTGCTATGCTTTGGAATGGATTATTCTGTACTGGGAGGAAACACAAAATCTTCACTTCTCAGAACAACCTGAAAAATCGGTGGTATGTACCTTATTCTCCTTTCCTAACCCTGTATTAAAAGGAAGTTCTACATTCAGCTAAGATGACCAATCTGCCTTGGTTTGTCGGTGCCCCAAACTCCGGAAACAGTCTGGCCTCCCATGTTTCGATGACAGAGTCTCTGGGCCCTGTGTGCTCCTTTGCCTACGGTTGCAGAGGAGACAGCAATGATATAATGGACACCACTGAGCAGGGGTTGTTGGCGGGGAGACACCGGTCTTCACTGTCTTCTCTCTGTCCTCCCACAGTTGGTGCCGATCTGCATTTCAGGAAAAAGAGAGAGTAAGTTATCAAGCTTAACCATGAGACATTCCTGCTTTTGCAGATCAAAAAAGGTCTAATATCAGTAAGTGCATGTGATTCCACCTAATACTTGCCCAATATCACAGAGTTCGTAGGTGCTGATTCCACAGTTTGAACTCTCAACTATCCCAGAATGATAACTGTGCATCTGTATCTTCAGACGACAGACCAGAACTTGGAGCAAATGCATTTGAAATAAATAAACAATGCTATCAGCAGACTACTTCCTTTTTTTCCATGGCCTATGGTTTCACTACTAACTTTATTCATGTCATAGTGTGAAAATTGGCTTTCAGTCAGACAAGACTGCCGTGCTGAAGCCAGCCCATCACACCCGCTTTCTCAGGCTGGCTGTCGCAGAACCCCTTTGCCCAGAAATATCTTCCCCCCAGGCTGGCACAGAGCCATATACACCAGCTCCCCAGCCAAACTCTCCCCATTAGAGCCACTCAGCTATGGCCACATGCCTTCCTCCCAGAGCCATCGTTAAAATTCCTCTGTGAACCCTATCAACCTTTCCTGTTAGCACACCAAGGATTTGTTTATCATCAGGTTAAGTGAGCTCAGGACTTGGATCAAGTGAATTTTATCTGGGAGCTGATGGGTAAGCGCAGGAGCATGAGGCCGATAAAGCATGGACTGTTAGATGCAGCAGCAACGCGGGGAGCTGTATTGGCCAATCCCAGTGTTGTGCAGCAGAGGAAACTGATATTCGGGTGCCACAGCCTTGGCGTCTTAATTTTAGGTCGACCAGTCACCTCAGTTTGCCTAGGACAGAGTAGCTCCTGGGTGTGGACTTTCAGGGCCAAAACTGGGAAAGTCCTGGACAAACCAGGGTGAGTTGGCCACTTGCTTGATGGAAGCCCCAAACTCTTCTGTTTCCCTTCACAGGGTGGACAAAACTCTAGGCGGGGAAATGACAGCAAACACAAATTTACACCTCACAGTTTAACCACACCTGGCTCCCCTGATCGGTCAGTCTCCAGGCATGAACTGCACGCCACGCGGAAGCTACGTGATGTAAAGCTTTGCCTGCCTCATGACTGGCGGAACTCAGACTCTTGGGCCACAGCATTTGGGAAAGTTGGTTAGATGCAGTCAGTTTCAGGAAGTAAGTCTGTGGTCTGGTGTATTCATTTCACTGAGACAGGGCCACTGTGTCAGCCACAGCATGTGGCTCAGAGCCTTCAAGGAAGGGCTGCTGCAGCTTGTCTCTGCTCCCTATGGTTGCAAAGAGAAGTAGTCAGGCAGGGAGAAGGGTCAGCAGGATGCCGCGTGCTAATCACTTCCTTTTTCAGAAGTTGTGTCATTTAGAGGTTTTGACTCTTGCAATAGGCAGTCATTATTGGCTAACTTTGGGCTTTTTTACTTAAATGTCAAGCACCTAATTTGTAAATATGTCTTGGTTTTATTTCTCCTCTTGGATTATTCTGCCCCCAGCCCTTGGTTGCTTGGCAGTTGTTTCCTCTACTAGGCCTTCTGCTTTCTCTTCTGCTGAGACGCAGCCTCTAGTTCACACTCTGCTCCTGGGGATGAGTACCTGCTGAAAAGGAAGGGAAGGAAAGGGGGAAGAGGGGATGGAATAGAACTGCCAGATAGTACAAGATTCCCCTCTGCCTACACACGCACACCTGCTAGAATTTAAATTTTTCATGATCCGCCCCTGTTTTCAAACACCACTGAAATGCTCTTCTTAGGGCCCAAATCAATTTACTGATTAGATAAATGAAGCTTAACTGTGACCTGGCTAGGTGACACTCCTGCTAGGTTGTCTTAACACTTGAACAAACCTAACTCCAGTGGAGGGATTTTGAAATTGGGGGAGGGGCAGGAGGCACAGTGATGGATTGTTCTGGGCAGAGCCCTATAAGGAGGGCTACCACATTTAGCAAAGAAAAATAGAGGATGACCAGTTGAATTTGAATTTCACTTAAACAATGAATAATTTTTTGGTATTAAGGATGCCCCTTGCAATATTTATGAAATAATAATATAAAAAATTATGCAGTGCTTATCCAAAATCCAGGTTTAACTGTGTGTCCTGTATTTTGTCTGGCAACCCCATTAGTAAAATGTCTCCCAAGCACACCGCCTGTGCGGTAGAAGGATAGTGCTGCTGAGCAGTTCGGAACAGCTTCCGAATGTTTGGCAGAGGGGAGCCTGCCTGTCCAAGAGGGTATCGTGGTACAGTCACGTGAAATCTCCGTCCTCAGAGCCAGGCCTGCTGAGGTGTGGGGCATCTGAGGTGGGCCCAAACAGGACAGCCCTGGAGACTGGCCCAGGTGCCAGTAACGAGGGCGTGTTCTGCTGGATCCTTCCCCAACGACTCAGTGTCTGGTTCCGGTGCTGACAACTGACCCGTCTGATATCCATCACACTGGAACATTATTTTTAGATCTGAGGAAGCAGTGGCAATTTTTTAAAAATAAGGTACTAGATACAGGGGTAAACTACATTCAAGAAGCTCAATTCTGACCAGGAAATGCAATCCATGGGCCCACTAGCATTACACGTAGAAAAGGTTAGTACCAGCAGCTTTGCGTGTAAAAATTCCTAAGACTGAGGCCCCACACTTTTTTTCACTTGAAAAAAAAGTCTTGACCTAAGGATACGTTTACTGATTTTAGAGAGAGAGGAGAGATGGGGCAGGGGAGTTGGGGAGAGAGAGAGAGAGAGAGAAACATCAATGTGAGAAACATTGATTGGTTGCCTCCCATACATACCCTGACCGGGGATCAAACCTTCCACTTAGGTATGTGCCCTGACCAGGGACAACCTGCAACCTTCTGGTGTACAGGACAATGTTCCAACCAACAGAGTCCCCAGCCAAGGCATTTTTTTCACTTTTTATCTTTTTTTTATAAGCAAAGGTGATACTACTAGCTTCAAGAAAATTACTTATGCCACCTATAATAATCTTTTTGTTTTCAACTAATGAAGAGAAAGGCTGTTTTGTCATCTGCCATTGTCTTCTGCCTTGGATGTACCAGGTCTGCTCTTCCAGACCTGTCCTCTGCCCTTCTCTGTCCCGCTCTGCACTCTGGAAGCTGATCCTGAGGACTCCCTTCTTCTCTGCCTTCTAGCTAGCTCACACCAATGGGAGACTTCAGCAAGAGATTGCAGGTTAGGAGGACAAATAGGTCAAAAGAATAATTTTATTGTGGTTGGGGATTATTAAAGTGCTTATGGTGTCAACAGTCTTATAAAAAGCACTCAAAATTATGAAGAGATGAGTACTTCTTTAACATGATAAAATATATCGATATTATCCCAAAAGCCAGCATTCTGCTTGATGAGGACTCAAAATCCAGAAGCCATTTGAAAATTGATAAACTCAATTATGTAAAACAAATTTCAATTCTGTGTAGCAAAAAAAGATCACCATAAGTTAAAAAACAAATGGCTTGCCCTGGCTGGGGTAGCAGCTCAGTGGATTGAGCATGGGCCTGTGAACCAAAGGATGGAGGTTCAATTCCCAGTCAGGGCACATGCCTGGATTGCAGGCCAGTTCCCAGTGGGGGACACATGAGAGGCAACAATACATTGATATTTCTCTCCCTCTCTCCTTTCCCTTTAAAAGATAAATAAATAAAAATATTTTTAAAATTAAAATAATAAAAAACAAATGGCTTAAAACTAATATAAAATACAATTGAATGTCAACTGTAATTTTTTATATTTTAAATATTTTTTAATATAAAGATTTTATTCATTTATTTTTTAGAGGGGAAGGAGAGAGGGAGAGAAATATCAATGTATGGTTGCCTCTCACGTGTCCCCCGCTGGGAACTGGCCTGCAACCCAGGCATGTACCCTGACTGGGAATTGAATTATGATCGTCTGGTTTGCAGGCCCGCGCTCAATCCACTGAACTACACCAGCCAGGTCAACTGTAATTTTAAAATGGCAAACTGGGAAAAAGTATTTTCAACTAATATTACAAAGTATTAATACCCCATACTAAGTACTACTAGAGATAAATAAGACAAAGAAAATTGACAATGCAATTTTAAAAATGTCAATGGAAATGAATAAATGATTAAAGTGTTCCAATACCAATTCTAAGGTGTGGGCGTGGCAGTTTTTCTACAACAAATCCCCAGACACCAGTTGGGTGGCCTACAACCCAACTCAGTGCAGACATCCACCCAAGAAGGTGTCAGATCCCACAGGTTGAGGGTTCAGTCCTACAAGCCTGCCCGCCCTCCACCTCAGATGCCATTCATGAGTCCAGGCTGTCTCCTGTGCTTCTAATCAGGAGCCATGCCTCAGAAGTTCCAATAGCCCCCTCCTTGGGTTTGATTAATTTGCTAGAGTGGCTCACAGAACTCAGAGAAACATTTCACTTACTAGATTAACAGTTTATTATAAAAGAACATAACTCAGGGAAAACCAAATGGAAGAAACGCATGGGACAAGGTACAGTGAGAGATCTCAGAGTTTCTATGGCTTCTCCAGGTGCATTACTCTCCCTGAGTCTCCACCTGTCCGCTAACCAGAAGTCCTCTGAACCCTCTGCTTTTGGGTTTTAAGGAGGCCTCACTACAGGGGCATAATTGATTAATCATGGGCCGAACTCAATGCTCAAATTCCTGTCCCCTCCCAGGAGGTTGGGAGTGGGACTGGAAGTTCTAACTTCTAATCACACAGTTGGCTCTTCTGTCAACCAGCCCCCAATCCTGAGTGCCTTCCAAAATCCACCTCATTAACATAACAAAAGACACTTTTACTGCTTTCCTCATTTAAGAAATTCCAACGATTTTAGGAGCTCTGTGCCAGCAAGGGGCAAAGAACAAATATGTGTTTCTCATTGTCAACCTAAAAACCAAGAACCTAATTGGAGGCCAAGCCTTTATTTGGGATCAAAGAATTGCAATTTGGGGTATACACATTTAGGTGGAAACAAAAAGAGTCTCAATTATAGGGTGAAGTTCATTTCATGATCAAATGAAAAGGAATAATCAATTGCATGAAAAGAAGAAAAAATTCCTGTTGGTGCTGATACACTGAGGTGCTCTAGCTACATGTGATTGGTCGCTGATTCTGTCTTCAGAGAGAAAGTCCATGATCATCAGTCCTTGTATCTGGGTTGTCTGCTTTCCTGCTGCATTAAAAACAATAGGAGACTTAAAAGTTATATATCAGACAAGGAATGCCCTGTTTTCCAAGTTCC